TAGTATACCTTCTGGTGTGTGTGATAAATTGTAAGTAGGTAGGGCCGGGACAGGTTGTCACAGTCTCTTGGTCGGGTAGGCGCGATTTCGCGTGATCAACCTGTACCTGGAATATATTTGAAGAATTGACGATACCATCGATGCGATCGGAGTATGTCGTTCGCCTTCGATTCTATCTGTACAATTTTTCAAATTTTTGCCACAAGTTCTGCTCGAGCACGGCACGTGTGCACGAACAACGACTTGTATGTATAAAGTCCTTTTTCGTCCACGTGTCAATTAGAGTTTCGCGATTTTTCTTTTTTGTTGATTGTTTTTTTTTTGGTTTTGCGAATTTGCAAGTCTCGAGCTTTAGAATATAAGTTTCAGGTGGGTGGACCGCCCGAAGAAAGAAAAGGCTATATGCCGAAGCGCCCCGACAAACTGTCTTTCAAGAGGGGAACTATTAATGATTTTGCATCCTTTTGCAAAAAAGGATGGGAAATCATTATCGTTACTACTTTGTCACTGTGCTCGCCTGTAGTTGTAGTTTTGTAATTTCAGGAGAAGAGGGGGCCCGTGACCCCCATGATTTTGGGCAAATCGCGTTTTCAATTTAGTGTTGCGAATATTGACCACGGTTCAATTTTGTGTTGCGAACTTTAAATATCGCGTTTCTTTCTTGCATTGCTTTAAAATAGAATTTAACTTTTCAATGTTGATTGCTTTAACATTTTTCAGAGTTTTGTTTTTTAATGTTGATTACTTTAGTGTTGCGAGTAAAAAATTCACGGTTTGAGAATCCCTATTTTTTGCATTTTAATTGCATGTCTATTAAAGATAGCGTTGCGAATGATATTAGCGCGATTGTTTCCCAGTGTTGCGACTTATAAATACGCGATTTCTTTCCATTAGTTTATAGAGTTCCCTGTTAATTAGTGTTGCGATAATGAATATTCGCGGTTTGCATTAGAGTTGCGATATACGATGAAATGCCCAAAAACGATCCAGTGGATTTGCCATGGTCCATAAGGCAGCTATGGACCAGCTGTCGTGATACAGCCTTGGATTGGCTGTACCCCTTTTTTAGATTAGTGTTGCGTCTTACAAAATTCGGTAGATTTGAGTAGTGTTGCGTTACACTTCGCGTTTTCTCTTTTTTTCTTTTTTTCAGCTTAGCGTTGCGTATAATGGAGCAGCCTTCACGCGTACGCTTTTCTACATATTATACATATAATTAATGAAATTAGTGTTGCGAGTAAAAAATTCACGGTTTGAGAATCCCCCTTTTCTGCATTTTAATTGCATGTCTGTTAAAGATAGCGTTGCGAATGACATTAGCGCGATTGTTTCCCAGTGTTGCGACTTATAAATACGCGATTGCTTTGCATTAGTTTATAAAGTTCCCTGCTAATTAGTGTTGCGGTAATGGATATTCGCGTTTTGCATTAGAAATGCCCAAAAACGATCCAGTGGAGTTGCCATGGTCCATAAGGCAGCTATGGATCAACTGCCATGGTACAGCCTTGGATTGGCTGTACCCCTTTTTTAGATTAGTGTTGCGTCTTACAAAATTCGGTAGATTTGAGTAGTGTTGCGTTACAGTTCGCGTTTTCTCTTTTTTTCTTTTTTTCAGCTTAGCGTTGCGCATAATGAAGCAGCCTTCACGCGTACGCTTTTGTACATATTATGTATAATTAATGAAATTAGTGTTGCGAATGAATTCGCGATTGTTATTAAATTAGTGGAAGTAACTATGACTCACATTCGGTGGGAATCCATTGGATTCCGCGGCCTAAGACCGTGAACACCATCTCTGGGAGATATACCCATGCATTACTAGGCCTTTGCAGGCGCAGTTTTAGTATACGGAATATATGAAAATATGTTACCATATTCTAAACTGCAGTCCTTTTGTCTATACTATGGGCGTCCGTCAATCTGACACCGTTGGATGCAACGTGTTGGACGGGCGGGTAGCGCTCTTAGCGAAGGGGTGCACTCTGTCCTGGCGTTACGACGTCCAGGCGGGGTGGGTGGTATGTAGCGTCTGGCGTAAGTCTAGGGGGCGTGAGACCCTTCGTTGCCAGCCGATGTTTTGTCATAGTTCAGAATGTTTGCAATTTTCAAATTAGTGTTGCGTGTGATTTCGGTTTCTTTTATAGGGTTTGCTTAGGGATTGCTCTTATGGGCAGTCAAACTTTTCTTTTCAGGTTCCCCTGTACCCTCCCTCCCACTGCCCCTCGCCCCCATTCTTTTTTCTTCCCTTCTCTTAATTTTGAAAATTTTGAGCGTTCGGTTATTGGAAATACTGTTAACTAATATATGAATTTAATGTTTTCAGGATATTATTAGATACGATAAAGTTTTAAATAGAACTTTATTCAAAGTTTTATTTAAAATGGAAATTCATTTTATTTTTTGATGATTGGTGATCATTTATTTCAAGGAATATTTCTTCATTCGAGATAGCTTATTAAATTTTTATTTTACTTTATTTAAACAAATGTAGTGGATAATTGTTGTTCGAGTTGTTCAGTTTTAATTTTTCATCGCGATGTTTCGTTTCAAGCTTACGGAGAAGCTAATTAAATTACTTTTATAAATTTTCAAATTCTTTTCCTGAAAAGCAAAGTCCTCTTGCGATTTTCTTTTCAGTTTTTCCATTTACAATAAATTTGCATTGAAAGGTGTATTTAATAATATAATGCAATAAAGTCAAGTAGAGTCATGGTTGTATGTACGTACATATATTGGAGTAAAAGATAGTTGTTTCAATTAAAATATCGTGTACTGTTTGTTAATAAATGAACGAATATTAAATACTATAAAATGAAAAACAATTATCCTTTTAATTCAAATCACTTGAGTGACGATATATTTTTCTAAATCTTTTTTTTCTTTATTTTGGTACTGAAATTGAATTGATGTTCCTTCTTTTCATTGGAAATAAGTCATTAATAATGACTCTGATTTTTGTGATATTTTGTGTGTACTAATGCATCTTCTTTCTAGCTATGTACTGAACTTTTTGTCTTAACATGGATTCAATTAATAAGTTTCTGTTGCAGAGAAATATCTCAGGACGTATTTTGGTAATTAATCCTTTTTAGTTTTTTTCAAGAAGTATTCTGGTATTAAGGTAATACGAGTCATAGTATGTTTGAAAATTGCATCTAATCCTTTTTGTATTAAGGTAATTTCCGCCTTATTATTTTTGAAAATTTGTGTCTAAATATTTGTGTAGTTTCTTTCAGGAAGTATTCTGGTGAGGACGACAAAATCAACAAATTCAACACATATTTATTTATGTACAACCCTTTAAATTTTTATATAAGCACGTTGTAAGTTTATGGTTTTGTAGAATGATTATTATATCTTAATGACTTTATGGTCATTAAGTATAATCGTCAAACACTGCAGTGTTTAATTAGGAAGCGTTAGATTTAAGCGAATTTTTAATATAATTACGAGCGCTCGGTTAGGTAGCCATTCTTAGTAATATAAGTATGTAGGACAATTACAGATCTGTAATCAAAATGAAAATTAAAAAATGTTGCGATAGGAATAAAAAGCAAAAATCTACGTAAATATATGTATAGATAAGTAGATAGGTAGGTAGTGAATAAAAATAATGCTCCTTTTGTTGTTCGTTTGCATAACAGTTAAAAACGTTTTGCAAATGTGCATCAAGAGGATGATGTTTTATTGAATAAAAGTAAAAATTTGCATAAATGGAGGGTGGATGGGAAGAGGTAGGGCGGGTCTCCAGCCGCAGCAACCTCCCCGTGGTGAGACCTGGGAAATCGTTATTATTTGATGACTAATTAATAACTGTATCATTATTTCTATGGTATATTTATTAATTATGCAGCAAATAATACGAGCGAATTGGCTGCGATAATGCTTTTTTTTCTATTTAATCGCTGTTGTATTTTTTTCCAGGAACTATGTCTTTAAGATTCTGAAGTGTACCACATCGCAAATACAATTTTACGGAACGAAAATTAATAATAATGAATGCATGGTCAGTATTGTTCAATTATGTACTTATACATATAGCATACATGGGTCATTTAGGTATTTGCGAAAGGTAACGTAGTATAGCATTCCGTTAGTTGGATGCAATAATTCAGGTGGCGCTTAAATCAGTTTCTGTTCAGCTTAATTTTCGATCAAACATAGTCTGTTTTACCGATGCGGAATTCGGTGTTCAGCCCCGACGCTATAAGTTTTTTAAATTCGAACCTAGTGTCATCTTTACAAAAACGGCGGAAATTTTTGAAACGTATAGGTGTATCGCGTGTGTCATGCGCGTCCCGTCCTTGCAAATACGTAATTGCTCATTTACAAAATATTTTAATTTGATAAAACGTTAATTTTCCGTAAAAGTGTTACAATGTTTGCAGGCAACACAGCGATGATGGCCACGTGTCTCGACAACTACGATGCGTCTGCATTGAGAAAACTTGAATTGGTGAGTCAGTACATTACAACCTCATTTAGTTGGAATTTATATTCGCTATCTTGCGTTTTATGAAAAAGAATTAAAGCACTCGTTTCAAGGTATCTCTTTAATCATTTATTTGTTACAAATGCACCAGAAGAATTAATATGTCATAATACATAGAGCTATCTATCAAGTTGGTCATTGCGATAGACAGCAAATTACGCATTCAAGTTTGATAAATCTCCCTCTGTTCTTTGACATGAAATAGCAACTACTTTCAATAGAAATACGAATATTACTTGCTTAGCGACATTCATAGAATCTCTAAATTCCTCGTAAAAAATGTCTAAATTTTTCGGCGCTCAACCGCGAGACGAGTAGGCAAGCGCGAGGAACATCAAAATTCCGCCATTTTGTACAAGCCTCTTATTCTTATCCAATCGCTTTCAAACACGCGAATTTTAAAATATGTACCCATACATTATTTATTTTTTTATAGTTTATTTAAATATTAGTAAGCTTACATCTAAGATAATTTTATAGGATTTAATTTTTTTTTTAAAACAAATATTTTTCTAATTCTTACAATATAGAATATACTTAAATTACGACAGTCATTGAACTATATTATTTACAATATTGGTTATTAATATACGGTTTCTTTAAAGTATAATTATTTCTACATAAATAAATAATTAACGAAAAAGGTGTTGACAATATTATTAATCGAGGAAATGAAACGATTCGAAAGATCAAGAGGCTTGTGCATAAAATCAACACATCTTTCACATTCTCACTATTTACCTACGTAACAGATTTATCATTCAATTCTCTTCAACAATGTATAATTCTCTAACAACAAATATTCGTTAGTCTATGTTCGTTCCCTACAGGCCGTTAGAATTAGACCGAGACCCTGGTGTATAATACTCACGATCAGTACAGAAGTATATTCTAAAGTTTGGTCAGAATCCTTACGCGTATTAATTGTTACATTGAGACCCTTTGTACAATTAGTGGAACGATTAACGTTGATACAGTCTCGTTTCAAGGATAATGTACACATTTTCAGGCGAACAATTTCCAAAATGTTAACATTGATTGATTTTAAAAATTAAAATTCAGATATTAGGTAAAATTGGTTACTTTCAGTTGTTTCTGATATTTTTCATTCGGTTATTAATTACGTCGTGTAATTCATTCACATTATATCATATAAAGAAAGCACATAGGTGTACAATTTCTTTCATTATAATAGAATGAAAATTCAAACGATTTAAAAACGAAATTATACAAATCAAATCTCTCTTTATTCCTGTAGAATTGAAAACAAAATTATTATACAGAACGCCGAGAGATATTTCTTTGCTTCCAAAGTATAACACTTTGGAAATCCCTGTCCGAAGAAGATTTATTCGTAGGAAGCGAAAACTTTCTTGAAATACGACTTAAATCGGAGAAGTTTCAGCTTCAGAACACATTGATCGAAATGTATATTTCAGAAGGTAGGGTGTTCGTTAATTTCCTGTAAACTCGTTTCATTATGCATAGGTTTAACCATTTAACCATTGATCACGTATATTTGTAACAAGCTCGGGAGAAAAATTAACGTATTCGTCTGTTTCCCTCGAAACTTTATTCATCGTGGAAAGGTATTTCAAGAAAATTTCGTGACCAATGGTTAAGCTGTTGAGCATAGGGTACGTTGACGTGCTACTTGAGCCGTGTGCACACTACACTCGAAACATGTTTACTTACACGCATATCTGCCAATGCAAACAGAGCTGAGCGATCATAATTTAACGTTTGATATCGTTTCATATCTGAATCGTATACATATTTGCTGGTTTGATCGTTTAAACACGTTGATTACTATCTTGGGATCGCTGGTAATAATTGGTAGCGGAAATTTAAGAAGGGTCCGTGGCAATTTTTAGTTCATAATAAATTTCCGATGCTCCGATCGCGATGATAGTAAACGCGTTTAAATATGAAAATTTCCTATCAGTCGAAGATTGAATGTTATACTAGGCGAGAGAGGAAGGAAAGATGTTTAAGCTCCTGAGCTTAGCTTTAGTGTAGACAGAATTGTTCTTGGTTATCACTGTTTGGTCATTTGTGGCCATTGCTAAGCACTGCTCGAAAATGTCCTATTCGGAATTGACGTTCCAGTACGTTCAAAGTTAAATATAAATTGAAAGGCTAATCAAATTTCCCTCGTGCAAACGAATTGCCGGCTGAATTTATTGCCTTCTTCGACAGATATAGCCAACTGCGGTGGAAAGGGTTTAATTCAATCTGAAAGTTTTTGCCAGAGCGCAACTCGTAAATCCTCGCCGTGAAAATTCGGGAGTAATAAATCGGTAATTTGATAAATTAAATTGAATTTGGTAAAATTGATAATTTGCAAAATTCTGTAAAGAAAGTTTGTATATTTAGAACGAATTTCGATGAAATTTCATATTTTTGTAACGAAAGGAACCGGAAGTGGCTAGAGGATCGCTATATCACCATTTGGCAGTATAATTCCACTATGAATTTGGGTGTCGCGATGTTTGCCAAAAGATTTCGTTCAGAAATTGACAGAGGCGTCGTGCGTTCTGCGAATCTAGAGTTTCAAATTTATTATTCTCGAAACCTTGAACTGACGATGAGTTGTGGCTCCAGAAAACTTTGCTCTAACCCAAAATCTTGGTCAATGAGTGTGCATTGCAGTGATCAAGGAATTATTATCAAACTTATCAAACCTGACAATAAGAATCTTTAATTCTGAAAAGCTTTATTCGCTTTTTTAAAATTAAATAATTACGAATTTAACCGCTACTCTCATTTCGAAAGTCAATAAATTCATCGCAATTAACTTATCGAAGTTATTAAAATCCCTTGCCCGAAAAAATTCAATTCTCCGTCAGTAGAATGTCTATAAAATTGATAAAACGTTCTGTGTTCTTCACCTATATAAGATTAATCGATCCGCTTATACAGAGTGTCTCTAAAACATTCACCAAGGTACAGACGCTTTCAGTTTTAACGAGTACAAAGTAGCTTTCTACTTTGATATAATTACAGTTGAGATTATTCGTCTAGTTAAAAAGGATTTTTCATTGAAGTTACGGTGCACAGAGGCTTGTGATAAATTACACGCCCGTTAAAACTTGAAGCCTTTACATGACCCTCGTTGAAAGTTTCTCGTTGGTTTTCAGTTTTTAGTTTTGAGCTGTAACGACGAATCTGTTTAGATACGTCTCGTTATAAATAATCTGTCGTTGTTGAAGAGTCGAAATTGTTGGCTCTTTTATACCTCGATTAATCTGAAATTTTCACGTAGCCAAGGAAACGACAGTCAGTAAATATCTTATGATTTTCAAATCTGAGTATACCTATACTTTTTGAAAAAGGAAATTTCTTCAGAATACGTTCAGATTAATCGAGCTGTCGCATCATGTTTTTTCCATTCGTGCAATCCTTTGAATCTCCCGAGTCATGATCATCTTCCCGATGACTCTACCTCTATCTTTTTGTACGGATAATGCTAGGTAGAAGTAAAGAGGAAATCTAGATGGAGGTGCGTGTGTGTGTGTGTGTGTGTGTAGGTTAAAGAAGAAGGAGATTGGTCGATTTTTGCGGTCGCCGTGAAACGTCAGGTCGCTCGAGTTGAAGTGGGATCATTAGTCACCGGATTTCGGTGTTAGACGGTGATGTAGTACGCCCTCGGTTTCCCTCTCGACGTGGTAGGGCTGAAAAAGACGCCCGGCGTCGACGGTGAAAAGGACCAGGAGGCCCAGGAGGGCGGTGGTAATGTCCGTCAGGAAGCGTAGTATCCTTCGTGTCGTTTGCGACATTTTTCACGCGCTATGTAGCACAATGCTATGGTGATCAATACGGCGATAATTATCCCCATACCGATGCTGATCCACATGATCTCCTCGTTTATACCACTGTAGCCTTTTCCTGAAAGCATGCTGGATTTATCTTGTAATTGTCATCCTGGACTGGGACAGGAGATTAAGGTGCTAACAGAGATTGTTTGTGGTAGTGTGATAGCGGTAGAGATAGATTCCCGGGATGTCAAGATTCGGATGGATACTTTGATTTATATGGATTAAGGAATTGGGATGTATTTTGTGTTTAGAAATTGAATAATTCCATTTTATTCTTTTTGAAAAATCAAAGTGGAATCCTTTTTCGCCACCACCTTTATCGAGAAAATTACCGGTGGCCGCAAGCATGCAAACATCGATGACAATGGAGGTCAATAAGTGTTCTACTCTCGTACACGTAACGATGTAATATCCCTGTTTACCATTATAGTGAGAGCTGTAAATCCCGACTTTACCAGCCACCCGACCACCCACTGGCATCTCTGCGTTGTTTCGTTTTCGTCCTTTGAATCTGAAACAATTCAACCCATTTGTTCTTTGCTTTCATCTCTTGGTCAAGAAAAAGTAGACAAATGATTTCATATGAATACATAGTGATTAATCATTGAGCATTGTTCAAGTTGTTATTTTAGAAAAAGCACGAGCTTTGTTGTTCGGTGCAAGTTAGACAATTTAAATTCTTTTTAATTCACACACACACACACACACACGTAAATGCATAGAGCTGAGCTCGATAATAGTGGTGTCGCTTTAATTCCGGTAGTAACATTCACGGGAATTTATTCTACGTTCCAAGCTATTTAATTCGCGCAGCTAATACGAACCAATTTCCACGACAAAGCTGAAGAACGTATGCCGAGCACGAACCGATTCAACGGAACGCTCCCTTTTCTAAGGGTATATTCCTTCTATGTTGGAAACGTGTTCCAACGGCACCAATGTATTCCGTTTTCCTGTACAAACGTTGCTTGTACAACTGGAATCGCACGTAAACCGTCGCCTATACGTAAAGGTTGTTTCAATGGAAACCGCGTGATATTGAAGCGAATGTATCTGATGGTCCAGAAATAACGCTTTAATTATACCCGACGATTTAATTGTATGTAGAAAAAGTTTTCTTTTTTGCCAAACTTGGACATTCTCCAATTAGGTCTACGCAAAACTTTTGGCTCGTGACCATGCAAGTGCTTAAAAGTAATGTTTCGGTGGCTCTGGAAGATGTTGCTTTAGTTAGAAATGTAATATATACTTGACAAGTATTTACTCGTTCACTAGTTAAAGTTTCGTTAAAGGACGCGTTTTCATCGGACAGATGTCTTGGGTGTCAGAAACAAGTATGCAACAAGTTACTTTTGTGTTTCTGGACAACAATTGTTCGAACGCGCGTGTTTGGTCGTTCTTTTGTTACTCGCAATTACGAGAAAGAAGGGACGAAAACGTGGTTGATGCTGTGCTAGCGGACACCTTTTGTTAGAGCGACCGGGTTATTGTTGGTGGAAAAGGAGCCGATATTGTTGTCTCTAACGTGACGAGGCTCACTTTATCACTGCTCGTTACTGGCTTCGCTGTCATCTGTTCCGACGAATGGAAATCGATAATGAGAAGGCGTTAATAGAACGGTTCGATTCGATGAGAAATAAGGCGTCCTCGATTCTACCTCAAAGAAACAGAAGATCCCTCGATTCGGAGGCGTTTGTTGAAATTAGGACAGTGGAGAAAAAAGAATTAGCGACCATTATTATTTACATATTTTAATAATTTTCCCTTCTTCAAATTTTTCACCGGGAAAATTTTATTTGTCGAAAATGATTCTTCTTTCTCCTGTTACAACTTTCATAACGGAAAGGTGAACGCAAAAGATCATTTTAGAAATTTCCTGAAAAGCTATAGAGATTAACGAGAAGTTAGAGTACTTGTTAGCATAAGCTCATCAGCGGTTCCATTAAAGAATCTTTAATCAGATCATCCTTTTCTACTTACAAAGGTAGCAGAAATTCAAATTTTCTTCTAAAAGAGAATATCTCGAAAACTTTTTTTTCTCAACAGAGTTAATCAAGCATCGCTGTATATTTTCCTCTTTTCTTGGAAGAATCTGTTTTCGAAACACGTAACTTTGGAAAAAATTTATGATTGCATTTACAGATTGAACTTTATTTCTGCTTATCAGATCTTCCGAAGATACGCTTCACGTAGCAACCTTTACTTTTTTTCTTCTTGCAGTGATAAAACTCGTCTTATCGTTATCCTATTTTACGATGTCAAATGTAAAATCGATCTTACGGTTTACCATAGCAACCGGCTGTTTGTCGACTTTATAAAACTAAATTGAGAAGCATCCGTTTGATTGTAAATGCTTTATTTGGTTCGATCTTGAATTGAACGCGGATCAATTAACTGATTCAGTCAATCGGTTGTTCGATGAAACACGAAATCATTAGCGGTCAAGCGAGGTGTGATTAATTAATTACAACAGGTCATCCTTTGTTTGCGTAGCTAACAGAGCTATAAAGGAAACTCAATGGAATCGAACGATTGTTTTTCTATAGGTCGTTTTGTTTAATTGGATATTTCTGAACGTTTTTATTTCAAAAAGAAGTTGTTGACTTCCATGAAAAGCTGTTTTATCAATTTATTTCCGTCATATTTAGCCATATCTGCAAAAGTTTCAAGGGTGCTTGAGTTATTTATAATCGAATTTTAATACCTTAACACCGTTTGATTCCATTTCATTCCATTTTGCATATTTTGCTAATATGCATTGACTCGACTGTTAATATATATAATGTTAACACTTTGGTATTTATGTTAATCAGTCCGATTTTGCATATTTCGCACATTTTCTGATACGTAGCATACGATTTGCATAAATTTTGCATACTTGGCTAAATTATAAATACATGCAGAGTGAACATAATTGATTATATTGATTAGAAGAAGGAATTACGAATTTCCCAATTCCGTTGCACCGTATTAGAAGTTAAAAACATTTAAGGGGCGAGAAGTTGATAGAAGAGACAATCGGGACGAGACTTTTGTTCTTTTCCCCGAAGCTTCACCTCGAGGAAACTTCTTTTCCGGTTGTTTTCACGTGTCAACGCAATCTTCGCTACGCTCTAGGCGTTCCAATTGCCAACAGTTGTAGTATTTATACAACGATCGCGCCAGTTGCCAGGAATTCTTCCGATATCAGTGAATCCGATAACCCCTGCACCCTCCGTTATTTCGTGTGCACGGCAATTAAAAGTTTTTCCGATATCTCTGCATTCTATACCGGGTGACTCGAAGACAATCATTTAAGAACTTCCAGATTCAGGAATTTAATTTAATCTACTAATGAAAAAGAAAAGAGAGAAAAGTAAATAGAACAGGATTAGTATGTATTAGTTGCACCGTTCTGTATTGGATAATTTTTAGATTTTTATTTCCTGTATTTCCCTCCTGAACTGTGTACTTATTTTCCGTATCACCCGTTAAATCAATGGCCACGAGTACGGCCAGGGCAGGCCATAATTCACCCCATACACGGTTCAATGAACTCGAATTCGTCGTATCACCATTAGTCGATGAATCAATCGAGCCAATGACGAAGAATCAGCTGGCGAGTTTTCGAAAAATCACTGTTTATTCAGGGAGCCACGCCCTTTCGCGTTTCCCGCGTTTTCTTCTTTAATCATATCTTTATTCCTCTTTAAACGGGGCCAAAAAGCATTGGACTAGATTTCGGGAGCTTCTGTAACGAGGACATTTTTAGAGCAATTAAGCCTCTTCGAAATATATAGAAGCGTTTTACGATCAATGGAAATTCAGTGGCGTTGCCAGTAGAAAAATCGATCATTGGTCAGACAGTGCGCTTTTTCATTGATTCTTCATTTCTTGCTTTTCTTTATGTACGTCTTCATTTGTTCTTCGTTGTTCCTAGTAGTTTCTAGTTGTTCCTAGTTATGCAAACAGTGATTGCTTCACGAAATTCAAGTCGTATCATTTCCCAGCGACGACGGGTCGCTCATTGGGATGGAAATCCGTCGGAAATGCGATTAGCCCCGATTAATCATTCGCCGTGCCGCTTCGCTACTGGCTTCGTGGCCGATACTTCGTTAAAATGACGACTATTCGTTTAATCATAGTTGCAACTCGTAATTCCTTGTTTCCACAGAAATATCTCTGTGATAATAATTTTTAAGTGACAAAAGGAGAAGCTTGGTAGTTGAAGCGTTATTGTTATCATTTAAACTGAAACTTTATTGTACCATGAATGCGCCACGTGTTTGTTAAATTTCCGTTATAATTAAAGGGCAGAGAGTTAATTAGGTAGCTCTTGGGTTATTATTTCTGCAGGAAAAATTTTACGCGAGACCTTCTCTACTTTCATTTGCTTCTTCGTTTAGTTCTTGCTCGATATTTCTAATTGGCATCATTAACGAGCTGTCGTATGTTCAAGCAATTATAAAAGAAACTGTTGTTTATTTACGAAAATAACTGCCAATCGCGTGTGATTAATTAAACACGGTAAAATAATGTTTGAAAAGTAAACCAGAGACTGAACTTTTTTTGTGAATTCATCTCGCGGGTAGATTTTAACCAGGGATATCGAGGTAAAATATTGTTTCAGCAAGTAATTCAATATTCAATACCCGAAAATTATTGAAAAAAAAAAAATCAAGTTACTTTCGATGTAAAAATTTGTCTATTACTCTTTCGATTTCATAAATCTATGAGTTTTATCAGCTTTTATTTTCTCGTATTTCGTTTTAAGCTTAAAACAGTGGAATAACGAATAATACTTTGTTTCAGTAGTCCTTGAATAAGAAGTTTTTCTTTCCTTATACGTAACGCCGAGCAAAATAAATTGACCTTAATTTAAATAATACTTCCTCATTTCCTTCGTTCTACGATTTTCTTTAAAATTGGTTCATCTCGTTTAACAAGCTTTAAGGAAAGTACGTACATATCCGGAAAAAGCTAGATGGAAAACCTTGAAAGAAGGATGTTACGTGGAATTCGATTCGGAAAACTTGGGAAATGCTATCATATTTTCTTTCATTCAAAATCCACGTGTCAGACAATGCGACCAACTAGATTGTGTCGTGTTTGGTTAGACAAGAAATGGATTGGTCCATGCATCGCTAAAAGTAGCATGACCCTTGCATTGGTCAGACGACTAGACTAGACATCGTTTGACCTATTCAATGAACCGTTTGATGTACCAACATATCTTTCAACCATCTCGATGAATAATAATTATCAAAATCTCGAACTGTAAATAGTCTAATCTAACTCTTAATACGTTGATTACCTTGTCAGAGTGAAAATGGACATTTGTAGGAAGGTAAATTAAAATGTTAATTATCGATGATACGATTGGTAATTATAGAGCGACATTATCCTATGATTCCACACTGTATTAAATTTCATCAAGACACTCTACCATTCTGTCCCTCGATAAACACGTTTCAAACATACTAAAACAAACCAAATATCAACATCCATTCACAAATACACACTTTCGACAAACTCTTCTTAACCATCCACAAATCCATCATTAAACCATACTTACCTTTATACAAATCACCCACTAGCAAATCACCAAGAAACACGTTGCACTGTCTACATACCTCAGTATCCCCTTCTCGAACCACTGAGGTCCTCTTCAATGACTCTGGTTTACAGTCACCAGAAACTCTGTACACTGTAGACCCTTCACAAGTTTCACAGTGTCCTCGATCCTCCACGAGTTCCCAGAACTCGTATAATCTTCAAAGTTGCTTAGATTTATTAAGGAGATCTATTAGACGTAGCTCATAGTCTCGGAGGGTCACAGACTCTTCTCAAGCTTTACGATATCTTCGATCCTTAAAGCCCCCACGAGTTCCTGAAGTTTCTGTAGTCCCTACACTTGCTCGGATGATCAATCGGAGGTCTATTAGACCCGGTTGATAGTCTCAAAGGGTTAAGTTTCGTTCGGAAAGGTGGGTTTGACAACGAGGCGAACGCGGGTGGTACGCGGTGCCGACTGAACGTCCCCGGCGTCCGGCAGAATGTTGCCGCTCGCGTAATGACGCTGCGCGGACCGGTTGCCACGGCTCAGGACAGAGAAACCGCGGGAAAGACAGGGAGAGACTGAGGGGAATGCACGCAGGATCGAGCGAGAGCCTGGAGAGGGGTTGTTGGGAGCGAGTGAGGCTGGAGGATACGAGAAGGAGCAAGAGGGTTGGGTCGTAACGCCCAGCAGTGAGCGACGAAGTAAAAGCTTCTGTAAGGGAGGAAGAGGGAAAAAGGAGCTAGAAATTGGGGAGCTTTCGGGGTGGTCAGTGGGAAAATGAACATCGTGGATGGAAAAAAGAGGGTGGATAGGATTTTTCTAGATGAAAAGAGATGATTTGTGAGAAGGTTAAACAGAAGAGGGAGATTGTATAAGGTGGTAACGAAGAACGATAGATCTAGCGTGAAATAAGGTGCGAAGCGCGAGTAAAGGGGAGTAAAGGTTCGTTTATAGTTGACCGTCAATCAGCTCTTTTCACCCGCTTCGTATCACTCGTAATGAGAGATTTTTAATTGTTTGACACGTTTTCGGATACGTGATTCTATTCGGACTCCCGTTTATGTTTATGTCAAATAATTCGAAAGAGGGAAAATTCGATTCAACTTTTAATTGTTCTATAATTTAATCACCCACCGTCCGGATAAATGGAAAATAATTATCATTTCTATTTCGTGATTATTCTAAAAAAAGACATCGTACTTACCGACGATTAATAACGTATCTAAACTACACGAGGGAGATGAATACGCAGGAAGGGTAGTTTTAGACCTAGGATGGGTACGGTGTAATATAAATGGCCAAGGTTTTTCCCATTTATCCTGTACTTAAAGTTGACGCCACACGAGCGTTTAAAATTGATGGGCGTACAACTAGACAGGTCCGCTACGTGTTCAGGTTATTCGCCCCAAAGGGGTGGGCAATTGAATTTCTTTTTATGAATTTTTCACCGAGAACATACGAATTTCTCGGTATATAAATTTGGCCGAATAGTTTTCATTTTATTTCGAAAATTGTGGGCGAGGGAGGAGGTCCGTCCACCCCTGTTATAGCGAGTAATGGGTTCTCCTTCCTCTACGTCACTGTTTTCCCTGGGGGAAACTAGCGTGCTCATCAGTATGCAAACGCAAATTTATAACAAAAAAAAGCATATAAACGAACGAGCAACTGACAATCACAAGATCAGACAAGCAAATAGAAGAGAAAGAAATTCGGTGGTGGAAATGGGGACAGAGTTGAAGGAGGGGTAAAATGGCGAAACTGAGAGAGATCGATCGTTGGTAAGGTGATACCGAGTGAGAAAGAGAAGAATGATAGGGGTCGTGGGTCTGGTGTAAGCAAAGAACGACAGAGATGGACCGATCAGGGTGGAAAGGTAGTTTGACGAGGAGGGAAATATCGAAGAAGCGAAGGTGGAATAACAACAACTGGAATGTGTGGAAAAGTACGAATACATATTCAAGTAGGATGGTAGCAAAAGTCGGACAAACGTGCAGTTGCAAATAGGAACGTAAAAAAAGGGGTTGCATCACGTAGAATGGAGAAAAACAAAGCGAGGGTGTAATGTGAAAAATTGCTGTATAGGGATTGCCAACGGCAATAGATGGAGGTATAAACAGGAATTGAACAAACGAATGTTTATGGATTGTCCTATTTTAACACCCCTATAAATGTCACTAGGTCTTTTTAGATTCACAACATTTGATTGCAAAAATTTACGTATGTTCAAACACAATTTTTCTACCTTCTACTGTTCTTTCATAAAATATAAATGTAACTTCTTTTTCTATTTGTTGAATCCTTCGATAAATTTACCAAAAATCCCTTTGGACCATCTCTGTGCGATACAAGTTTTCAGCCCCATAAGTCTCAATACGGAGATAGTTGGAATCAGTTTGAACTAGGGAATCGTGATTGATATCGGGGAATACTTGAAGATAACTACAAAAAGTGCAAACAAACGAAACAATAATCAAGGGATAGGGATGAAACGAGTTGGAACAGTGAAGAAAAGGTAGCGTATAAATTGAAGCGTTCAGAGGGTTGAGAGAAAAGGGACGAATCTTCGTTCATCTAGAACGGTTGCTGAGTAAAGGACCAGGCTAGTGAATAAATGGGGGTAAGAAAACGAGGAGAATCATACCGAACAGAAGCAAAGGAATCAATTTTATATGATCCTGATGCATACTTGGCAAACTAGCATCAGGTTTTGTATTTTAAGTTACAAAATTTATCGAGGTGTTTTCCAAAAACCAAAGTAGCCAAATTTGTTCTGGTGGTAGTATAGATTTAGCCAGCGTTATTAGCTAAGTCAAAGAGGTAGTTTCCAACGAACAAGGGGGTAGTTTTCAACCCTGCCAACTAGTAGTCTATTAACAAGTGACGTCAAACACAAGTTATAATCGAAGGGGAAATTATACAGCACACCCCTTTATAACATCCCTTTTATGAATTCGTACAATTTTCCGCCTCTATCCACCATGAAACTTTCATAAATCGATGAATTTTCGCTCGCACTTTCTTTTTCCATTTTAAGTCTCTCCTTTTTTTCTATGTTTAGCTGAACTTTCACCAACGAGAATTTCAAAAGCTTCTCGACAAGATTTTGTGAATTCCTATTAGGATTGCTCCGAGTGTGGAACTGATGCGAATATGATATTCCTGGTATCTATATTCGATCTTCACGTTTTCAGCTACGCAAATATTTTCAATCTTTCGTTAAACTTTATTCAAATAATGTTGTACGTGATTTTAGAAGTCCGATACGTGAGAAGGTTTCGTTATAAATTCTTAAGAGAAATTTTGTTGGAAGAATTTTTTTTATTAAGAGATCTTACAGTTGGAAACGTCGTAATTTCTTTCATATTATCCACTCAGCCATTACATTAAAATTCATTTAGGCTCTTTCGGGTATAGTATTCACTCAGTCGCTAGTTTTAGTACTTTATAGCAGTTTTACGAGGAACAGTTGTAAAGTTTGATCCCTTCGTATTGTTGCTTTACGAGTGGTCCATTTCCTGGGGCCATTATCAGACATAACAAAATTTTCATTACTTACCTGCATATTGTGTCCGAATTTCCAAGGATAATATTTAATCACCAGCTTCTAGAATTTCAACGAATAAATCTTTACAAATTCCTGATGAAATATGTCGTTTCCAAGTTGGCACCAACGGATTTGATAAAATCTTGTTCACAACTTTAATAACTGGCCCTTGTTCCACGAAAGGGCACACATCTACCGGTACTCTCGACCTTTCTTATCTAAATAATTGATCCTTGGGATCGTTTTATCGCGTTTGCCAATCTGGCGGAGGGTGGTTAATGCAAACATATAAATTACTCTCGATTTATATAGGAATGTATTGCTCCCTTTCATTTAATTAATGAAATCATTTTATAAGTAAATCCTTGTACTCTCATTATTAGGAAAATGATGAAATGTATCAATTATACATATAAATTGATGAGCAAGGCTCGATGAAAAGAGGGTAGGGTAGGAAGGAAAGAAATTATTTTAAATAGCATATCGAATGCATTATTCAAATCGTACATCGATTCACGAGTGTATTCCGAGCTGGGGGCAAATATAGCATCGGAATCTGACAAGTGCAGTTTCCCAGTAGAAGTTTCACGATTACGGTGTACCCCCTAGGGTGAAAACCAGGTCGTGAATGTAACCTTTGCCTTTCCTCCTTGCGATATTCGTCCCATCTAATTCCATACGGATCAATTAGGGATTAAGTGTGTTCAGGATCGCTCAGCTTCATCCCTAATTCGATAATCTCTGGGAAATTTAATCGAAAGTTCATCGAATCGGTGAAATTCGTAACAAATACGATAATAGAAAATTAGAAGTGGAATAATTTATATGCAGAAAGTTTAACGAGCAGACGAGTAAAACGAGAACATGAGATAAGTAGTATGAGGATAGCAGGTGGGCAGACTAAGTGATGCGAGGGCTTCTATGATCAGACGAGCATGATATCATTAGAAAGTAGTAGGTATACGTCGTTTCTTATAAATTTGAAGCAACGTAACTGGAGGAAATGCGATAAAAATGTGTGCACCTTTTAAATTCATGTTCATTAATATATCACTTTTTTATATCTTTCAGCCCTGTACATTTACTTCTTTAATTAGAATTTTTTTTAAAAGGAGGCTCATTAAAAATTCCTTTTCAATCTTTCATAAAAGAAAACTTGCTTCCTGTAATTGTGTAATGCTTATACGTTTCATGAATCTGGTAGGTAAAGTGCATAAATGAAAATGCATCCTGTATGAGATCGGGTTCTATATTTACGTAGACACACGAGCCAGTATGTGCGTGTCCTTCTGTTCGTGTAATCTAATTTTCAGGGTTAATTAGCGAGTTAAATGGATATTAAGGTCTTCTCGGTCTGCTACAGTTGATGATAATTGGATCAAATCTGTCATTCTATTATGGACGTTACTGTGCATTGTATGCACCGCATATATTCGTTTCATGACGTTCAATTATTCTGAACTATTATTATTATTTCCGGCTACGAAAAGCTTAGCATTTTAACATTATCACCATTAGACCAGGGTGTCCATGTAATTTAATTTTTGTGTTTGTCGCTCGATGCCAAAAGGATTCGCAAAAGTAATAGAAGGGATAAGTTCGTTGAGGAAAGTTTCCAGTTGGATTTATTGCTTGTTCCATCGCTGCCAAGTTCGCGAAAGTTAAGGGTTATAGGGTTAGACAGAGTATGGGGAGGGAGGTTTTCTTGTGGTTCGTGATACTTAGGAATTGTACCTTCTGTCTCAAGGTACTCCTTGAGGTACGCGTACCCCTATAGATACCAAAATTCCGTCCGGAAGGTCGGCGACGCACGGGACTTGAGAGTTTTTATTGAGGACGCATAGTCGAAGCGATTTCATCCCTGAAAGTCGACTAACCAGCGAGAAATCGAGCGATATAATTTTATGAGGAGGACATGGTTGCTTCTCGGCTCGTTCACGGTGTTGTTAAGG